AATCCATTATTTTTCCAATAGATGTCGTTATTTATCTGTAATTCAAGCTGTATAAAAGCGATCGAGATCCGCTAGATGGCGTTAGAAAGATAACATTTTGTACTAAAAAAAATACAGTTTTTCTTCCATAAGAGCAAGCCAGGCGGCTGAAAATGTAGCGTTTATGGTCCTGATACTTTTAAAGTCAATAATGCACAATTTCGATTTCGATTTCACTCCGATAATTCTGATGTACACGGAGTGGACGTCCAATTGTCGAAAATATCGATAAAATCATGGACATTGTCGAGACCGAACGTCACTGCTTCGATTGTCCAAGAGCTAAAGACTGCACGAAAATCCGTTTCAATTAGGCTGGATAAGAAAAGTAAAAAATTAAAGCTTTCAAATTCATGCAAAAATAATGGATCTCTTTTTACTACACCTAATATTATGTACAATAATATTAGCAACAAATCAGAAATATATTTTCTATGATGTAAGCTAAATTTTAGTGTACATATATGTACCGACATGTACGAGAATGTATGTATGTAGGAAAAAATATTTACTCCTTAGCATCTATGCCTGAACATAAATTCGGTACAAAGGCATGTACTTGATTTTACATATACATATTATATGTATGTATGTGCATATTTCCTACGAAAAAGATACATGCGTGTTAAGACTCCTTTGAAGAACTTAATTCTGATGGGAAAGTTATTGAAGAAAATCGATATTATGCAAATTTTGATAAACATTCACGGAGACAGTAAATATTTGTTTATCACTATATATGTATGTATGTACGTATGTTCATGACATTGCATATTTTCGTTATTATATACATACGTAAATACATACAAACATATATATACGCACAAGTTCACAAGAGATTTGTTCGCTTACATACATACTCACATACTCGTTTAAAAAAATATATTTATGAATGGCGGCATTCTAAGGAATTTAAAGTATACATACTATATATGTACGTACATATGTACATTTATGACCATAAGTAAAAGAATTCGTTGGCTTAAAAAATTGAAGGAAAATTTCTGCTTTGAGCTTAAAAACAACGCTGTAACTGTAACTCACATAATCAAATTCTACGGTAAAAAATACTGTTGGAGCTACACAGATCGTGAAGAAGAAGCAAGAAAGAAGAGCTGTCTAGGATCATATATCTTCCATAAATATAGTATTGACTTGGGGAATTGGGTTAGTTATGATCCGAAGTGCTGCATAGACAAAAATTGGTTGTCAAGATGCTATATATATATATATATATATATATATATATACATACGGTAAAATGATCAATACGTTACCAAGCTACAGCCGCCTACTAAATCTTGTTAAAATATTTCAAAAACTGAGGGACCGGTTTGCGTTCAAAGAGACCAACGGACAGATGAATATGGCTAAATCGACTCAGCTCGTTATTCTGATCATGTCCGTATACATTTAGATAGACCCATCGCGCTGTTTGTGGCGGCCGCGGTAGCCGAGTGGTTAGCATTGTGTACTGCTATTCGGATGGCGGCGTACTAATATCCAAAAAGTTATAGAAAATTAATTTAAATAAAAAATGAAGCTAAATTTTCTAATTGCGGTCGCCTCTCGGCAGGGAATGTCAACCCCTGCGTGTGTATTTCTAGCATGAAATAAAAGCTTCGCGTAAAAAACCATCAGCCGTTCGGAGGCTGCTTAGTATAAGCTGTAGTTCTCCCTATTTGTTGGGAAACACATCAAGACGCAAAACAACAAATCGAATTAGAGACTTGGCCGAAAATCGCTTTAGCGGTTACAAAGCGCCAATTATATTATATATCAGGTGAAGTAAAAAGAAGTCCACTATTTTTCCATGAAATTGAATGCTTTACTTTTTTTCATATCCAGCCTTATTGAAATGGTTTCAATTGGGTTTTTGTGTAATCTTTAGCTCTTGGACAATCGAAACAGTGACGTTCGGACTCTACAATGTCCATGATTTTATCGATATTTTCGACAATTGGACGTCCACTCTGTGAATCATCTTTTACATCAAAAATACCGGAACGAAATCGAAATCCTAATTGTGCATGATTGACTGTTATAGTATCAGGACCATAAACTTTATTCACATTTTCAGCCGCCTGGCTTGCGTTTACGCTCTTATGGAAGAAAAACTGTATTTTTGCTAGTGTCCATCTTTGGCGCACGCTCTAACAAAACTGAATCAACCAATCACGAAACTGTCAGAAAAGCTTTTTTAGGACCAAATGTCATCTTTCTTACGTCATCTAGTGGATCCCGATCTAGAAAATATAGATAAATAACGCTATATATATGTATATTGGAAAATAATGGATTACTTACGCCTGATATTTATCGTGTTGTTTGAAACAAATAATTCACCGATTGATCCTTTGAGGCTAATTCTATCTTAGAGCCTGGGGATTTGAAACTTTTTCGCAACAAGGTATACATAACTGTTTTTTTGCTTAATAAAGAGTGATCGGACGGAGCTAAGCCAGCTGAGAAAGTTGAGTTTTGTTCGATAAAATCTAATAGTTTTTCTAGTAGTTCAAAACCATTTCTCTCGCTTCTCAACCGGGATATGTTCAGTTGATGCACAGGTACAAAAAGATTTTAACATTGTTGTCATAACTTGATTCTGGATCTATAATACTAACGGAGAAATTTAGCACAACTCAAGTCAGCCCAGGCTCTGATAATATTTTCCGAAAGTACACGCAACCAATTACAAAATCTTCAACAGATTTTGAAGACAAGCACGAAATTGTTTATGGCCTCTTAAATTTTTACAACAGCTATACAAAACTATCATACGAAAGGTCGCGAGAAAAAATTTGGTGGAAGATTTTAACTCGTTGGCTACCACTATAAGTGGGTCGTTTTGCCTTATCTCAAGCATTCTTTAAGAAGTCGAAAGGCTATCAGAAGATTTAAATGGTCTTCATATTTATTCCATGGACAATTTTGTTAAGGAACAATCTCTATGAGTGTTTGTTCGTTCCCAATTAAGAAGATGCCTCCAACCAATTAGTTTACGACTTCAGTAGAGTCCAAGCTTTGCGATGTACATGGGAGGGGAAAGGGAAGAAGCCATTCATATCAGTGTACAGTGTGTTACAATCCCCATGGAAAGAACATTCTTCAATATTTTACCGATTTGTGTCTGCGCACTAAAGAAAGAGATGATCAACATGAACAGAGATTATTTCTCGAAGTTGAGCTTCGCTGTGCAGTCTTTAGACAGTTGAGAGGCATTTCAAGCACGTCGCAAGTGGAGTTCGAGACGAAGCGATTTAGTAGAACGTAAGAGTGAGAGCAAGAGAGACAGAGAGAGAGAAAAAGAGAGAGTCAGGAATAAGTGTTACAAAGATCGCAAAAATTTGATAGAAAAGAAAAAATGCTCGTCAATATTAAGAGAAGGATAAAAAATAGAAGGTTTCGGCGTCCGTTCCAATCTGCAATATAAATAAATTTTATTTTCTGAATCCAGCACAATTTGGCACATTGTATTTTTTACCGTAGTCTGATCTTGCAATATCTATCTCAGCATCCGAATTCCCAGAATACCACAATGACACAGAGATTAACATATTTTGAACAAAAAAATCTTACTTTTTCGAGCACTCAAGGAAGATAACGGTTAAAACTACAGTTCCGAACGGCTGATGGATTTTAATAGGAAAGAAAAAAATTTACAATTTTTAGACGCAGCAAACTCCGCCGGTGGAAGAGGTGGAAGAAATCCATTCCATTGGAAAGATCCGGGGAAAAGGGTCTGGCGTCACTTTATGTCTCCAATAAAAATGAAGTTGGCATTCCCTAAGGGACGGTGATGCATTCAAAGAGATAGTTCACAAATTTTTCTAAACTATCTTTATTTATATTTTTTCTAACTATACTTTTGTATTCAGGTATAATATACTAAAATTATTCGCACCATCTCAAATTTCCTCCTAAAAAGAACTTCATTCAACGCGGTTTCACTGTAAACTCATGGGTTATTTAATGTTGGGATATTTAGCAATGACAAACTACTTTGCTTACATCTAATTTTCAATATTTTCATGCAGTACTTAAACCTCTGCACTACACACACAGATGTCACCAAAAACTGCTGTCACACCCGTTCCGCAAACCTCTGGCCACATTTCAGCATCGTGAAAATCGTGGCATAGATGACGCCCAAGATTAAAATAGCGCATAACGGTTTGAGACTCTGCTAAATAAGTGAAATATGCACATACATTCTGAGCTGGCAGCTCTGCTTAAGAAAATTAACTTGGCAGCACAGCATCCGGTTTTCCGTTAGTTGGCAGTTTGTGTCATTGTTTTTTCGTTCGCTTAAAGTTAACGTAATTTAAACAAAATTAATGGTATAATAAGCAAGAAAACGAAAAAATGTAAAATATTAATTAAGCATAAGAAAAAACTGCCAGATGCCAACAACAACAACAACAATGTCCGTTTTGAAATTCCATGCAAATCACTCTTGCCAACAGCTGCAACATTAGAAGTAAAATATTCTCTCGGTTTTACGAGAGATTCATTGTCCGCTAGGCATCAGCAACGATGAAACGGCTACATTGACATAAGTATGTATCTATATAATTGACGCTTTGTAAGCGCTGAAGCGATTTTCGGCCGAGGTCCTCCTCAATTTGTGGTTTTACGTCTTGATGTATATTTCCAACAAATGGAGGGACCTAATGTTTAGTTTATGAGGAGCTCTTATGTCAGAAATACACTCGGCACTCCCTGTAACTGTGAATAGAAAAATTTAATTAATTTTTTATTTAAATTAATTTTCTACAAATTTTTGGATGTTACTACGACACCACCATTTGAACCCAAGCCTTCCGAATGGCAGTACGCAATGCTAACCACTCGGCTATCGCGATCAACCGCGGCTGTCACATGTATATATGTATGTAGCTCATCGAATAAAGAGACAACGGCTACGCGTATATATATGTATATAGAAACACTCTGTAAAATAAGTGTTTTGAAGTTTGCGACGTGCTTGAAATCTACTGAAGCGCTGTATATGCTGTTTTGAGGCAAAGAAATTTGGTTTCACCAGGAGAAGGTTTCGACCTGGACAGCCCGCAAAAGTATGGAAAGAGCTACAGGTTGTGCTGATTAGCAAAGAAGCGGCAGTGCCGCCCACACCAGCCTTAGACAGGGTCTGTGTGGCATACACAGTGCGAAGTATCCCTTCGAAAGACTACTTAAAAGCACAAAAAGGCAACGTCCCTCGTTTACTTAATTTCGGTTACAAATGACAGCTTTTAACTAAAGTTTCCATGATATTATTGAAAAGTTCATTTTTAAATTCCCACATTTCATAGGAAGTTTATTAAATATGTTTTATTTATACAATAATAGGCAAATATATACAACCGTATGTACATAAGCTTCGTATTAAGAATATGCTACACAAATACATATACAAATATTTCAGAAAAATATCTATACAGCGTTGTGTTTCTTGCTAATTCTCCTTTATAACTTAAATCTAAAATTGGCAGCAATATTTTACAGAAGGAAAAGAAAATAATAAAAACAAAAATTAGATAATAAACAAATTAAAATTTTACAACTTCTTAAAAGCAAGCAACCATATGGCGTAGGCAACCAAACTATGTATGTATATCCTCATCAGCCATTACATTGTCCCATCCACATCTCTGCTCACTTGAAAAGGAAACGGTTATTAGGTTCCTCCAATGGTCCATGACCGAAATGTAAAGGATCGCGTTGTGACTCCGAACGTGTGCGCGCGGCACGGAGGTCAGCTAAATGTTGCTGGCCGGTAACAAAGTTCAGCGAACCCGAGCCCAAAGTAACGCTGCCATCGGGTAGACGCACAAAACCAATGCCGCCAGAGCCCAAAGCAATGGTGTCACCACGTGCAGTGGCGCCACGGAATTCCAAACGTTGCTGCTCACGTAAAATCGCATTAGCCGTCGAGTCTAATTGCATGGCTGAGGGCAGTGGAGCAATAGCGCCTGTACCCGAAGCACCCACTAGTGCACGATAATTATTGACGAAGGAACGCGTGAGGAATGGTTTTGTGTCCTGTGAGATATCATTGTCGACAAACTCCACAACGGCATACTGTTTCAGCTGACGTCCGTTCACGACATAGAAGTCGCTGTCCGGTCCGATACCAGTGCCAAATTTATAAATTGGCTGTTGGCCGAATGGCACACGCAACGGTTGCGGTTGGAGTGGTGCAGTGGGTGCAGAAGGTGCGGAAGCAGTTGGGGGTGCATAGCTATAGCCTACCTGTGGCTGTGGTTGTGGCTGCGGTTGTGGCTGAAGCTGTACTGGTGGACGGAACGAACTGAAGACGGTGGGTGGTCGCTGTTGTTGCCGTTGTTGTGGCGCTGCTGGACGCGGTGCTGCAGATGATGCTGGATGCACTTGTACCAGTGATTGCGTATGAGTGCGTGGTCCAGCTACTGGTGCAGCTGGTATCAGACGTTGTACTTGCGGGCGGCCCGTGGGTAATAGTGGTATTGATGGCACCGGCGGCAATGGCACTGTAGTCGGAATGGGCGGAAAGAAGTGACCGGAATTGCTATTTGGTGGTGGGCGTGCTGGTGCTGAGAGCGGCGAAGGTGGACCATAGTGATAACCGGCGGCATTCACGTGGCTGAAGAGCAGTAGCAAGGCCGAGGCTGTGACCAAGCGGCGCATGGTCGATTTTTCAAACGTCATCTGTGTTGGCGAGAGAGAACACACAAAAGAAGAGAGTTAATTAATTTAATCAAATTGAATTATTAAAAAGCAATGCAATATATTTTAATTTTCGAAACTCCAAAAAACTGTACATCCACATGTGCATGTATATTTTCTCATATTCCCGCCAATCCAAATAAGTTGTTTGAAGTTTTTCTTAGCAAAAAATATAATTTTCCGGTTAAAATTAATTTCAAATTATCATTCTTTAATCTAGTCAATTAAATCCTAAACAATAACACAGATTAGTTCACAATTACAGTAGCTTCAATAAGTACAACACACCGCAGCCAGCTTCACTCAGCCACCCAAAGCAAATGCAAAAAACGCAAAACAGCATTCCAAAAAGGCGCACAAATACCCATTGGCGTCGTTGCAAATTTTCTAAGGCAATACCAGTTTGTCTGTCAATTTAATTAACAACATATAGTATAATTGCGGCTACGTCTATTTAAATGTTATTAGAGCAGCGTACGTGTACTCGTAATGTAAGCGACAAGTCAACGCGTTTAAGAGTCACTCACTAATATGAATGGCGTGAGCGTCGTCTCTCTCCAAACAGCCATATAACGGCGCAAAGCATTTTGTTCTAATCACGTGTTGGCCATAATTTCTTGTTGTTGCTGCTCCTATAGTCGTGATGTTGACTTTTATTGCCATTGTCATTGAGTTTTTTCAATGACATAAATTAATTACATGATTTACCAGTTGACAATCGAAAATGAGCAATTCTCGAGTGTCTTAATTTGGAGCAAATGCGAGCAACGTATTGAGATTTCCCATTAATAATTAATAATGTTGATTGATTAAGTCAACTGCTACTGCTAGTAGAGACATTTAATTTTTTATTTTTGGACAAATGTTGTAACCAAAACTTTTAAAATATGTATTCAGAGCGGACAAAAACATATGTAATTTAACGTTCGGTGCAGCTGCCAAGTTAGCGCTACAAATGTTAATTTGAAACTAGATTTAGAGAAAAACCTAATTAGAATAAAAAAGAAATCAAGTGGAATATTGCATAACAAAAAAGGAAAATAAAATAAAACAAAATTAAATAAGAAATAAAATGATATAAATTAGAAACAAAAAATATTAAATAAATCAATATATATACCGTAAAATAAATAAAATTAAAAAAGGTAAAAAAAAAATAAAATAAATTAAAATATAAAATAAAATAAAATAAAATAAAATAAAATAAAATAAAATAAAATAAAATATAATAAAATAAAATAAAATAAAATAAAATTAAATTAAATTAAATTAAATATAGCAAGATAAAATTAAGTAAAATAAAATAAAATGAAATAAAATAAAATAAAATAATATAGAAAAAATAAAATAAAATCTTTAAACTTAGCAAGTTCTCGTAAAAGACTCAAAACCTGCACGATCATTTTCAAAGCCCTTCGTGTAATGTTTAGTGTACATCGCGCTTAATGATAAAATGAGAAAAATATAAAGAACACAATTTCGCAGCAACTGACGGTCCCAATAAACTGGTGGTTAGGGATCGAGTCCAGCATGGCGTAAAGATTAAAGAGAATCTCACTAACGAAAGATTTTTGTAACAAGACCAAAACCGCTCTGAAAAATACCCCCCATCTGGAGCTCTCTTCAAAAAAGCTTCTACTCTCGAGACTACAACTCATGTAGGATCCGAAGACAATATATTAAGTCATGTAGTGATTTTGTTGTGCAACAACTGATCCAACATGCCTTTCTGGATAGAGAAAAATACTCACATATGAATCAACGCTGTTATTTCCAGTTGGACGAAATTAAAACTACGAAAGGAAGAAAAAACCTGAACATCGTGGACATTCTACAATATACCCAAAAGCTATCCAACCCTTTTATGGCCATAAAGTGCTAAATACTTTCCACTTCTACGGAAAGATAAACCGGTTATGTTTCGGGTATCTGCAGGTGGATTCATAGGATTAACAAATGACAAGAAAATTATCACTAATGAAATGTGAGTAAATTTTAACGCTTCTGAGTGCAGAATTCAAAAGCAATCAATACTTTCAAATCGTGAAATGAAGTCATTTCGCCATTCAAAGTGAAGCCTTTCATAACAACTTTTATTTATAACCATGACTTTCGATAAAATATAATTATTGCAAGCAATTGTTTCCAGCCAACTGCATAACGCCTTTGGCATTTAGATTTTTTATGTTCTTCAGAATCGTGTAAAGTATTTTTGAAACGGTTACACACACAGAAACTGCTCTACGAAAGAACACCTCAATAGTCAATTAGTGCAAAACTTAACGACAACACATTAAAAACTGTCGTTATTATTAAATTAAATTAATTCAAATATGCATTTGTAAACAACAACAATACAGCAGGCTGTATAATTTCCTATTCATTGCCAACCAGCTGCCAATAATCATGCTTACAAGAGTATAATAATAAAAATAGAAAGAGAAAAGATTATTTGAATTAACACGGCAAACTGCATGGCGCACGACAAAGTTCTCCGCCTACTGTGCAACTGTAAAAGAAAAAACCTAGAATTTATTTACTATTTAATGCATAAAAGCATATTTAGTATATATTGTATTTACAGACTCGCTGTGTTCTGTTGGACAAATGCAAATGACTTAAATGCAGCCGGCCGGCACTTTGCCGCAAATGGCTTAGGTTTGCTGCTTGGACACATTAACTACGTAATTTGCGCCAACACCAATACACTCATAACAATTATCTGCTAATGCTCTGCATTAAAAACACAAAAGCGCAAATTAGACAAAAACACATACCTATGTATGTATGTATATGTATTTGGCCATAGCAATACAATACAATTTGCTTATAAAATCGCTTTTGAAATGTAAACAAATTGTGAATGGTATGCAAACATAAACGAAAAAAAATATGCGCATATGGATGTAAGTATGTAAATATCTGAGAATTACTGACCATAAGATCGACGGCTGCCTGCATATTTATTCACTCAAACTTTTAATTGAGTTTAATTTGTGGTCAATTTCAGTAGAAATTTTCGCAGCCACACAAATATATGTACATAGTATGTATTGATTACCGCTATTACACCTCACAGTAGCAACACTATTTCACAGCTCCATCCAAATGGCGTTACTTTATACATTTTCATTTATCACAAACTCAGCGCCTGCCTGTCTTTCTGTCTGTTTCGGCTCACAGCCAGACTGAGTCCAATTCAGTGCATTATCTATGGAAATGGCAAGCAGGCAAAGTTTTGTATAAGGCGCAGACGCCAAATAGACATGATAAAAAAACAATAACAACAAACAATAAAAAAAAAACAAAAAAATAAAAATAAATACAAAAATCAAAGTGAGACTAAATAAGAAGATATAAAGAAAATAAAAATAAAATGTTAAAATAAATAAAAAAAACATTAAAAAATATAAACAGCAGCTCCACAATCGCCATCACCCGCCATAATTATGGCAAATTAACGACAGAGACAAATCGTAAGCGTTGTAGTTACAATCAGCGCATTGTCGACTCGCCTGTCAAGGCGGACAAGCAATCGTTTGTCTAAATGTCTGTATGTCGGTTTTCTTTGGTTAGATTTTACGTATTTCATTGTTTACTTATTTATTTATTTATTTTTACCTCCTTTTCAGTTCTTAATTTATCTCCAAGTGACGGCTAAAGGTGACTGGAAGAAAAAAATGAATAAAAACGCTGCTGAAAGAGTGACAAATCAGCTACCAAATATATATATGTTCATATAAAACACTGTGAAATAATTTTAGAATTATCTATAGTCTATGAAAAGTGTGTAATTTCCTGTAAAATGGCAACACTAATTGGCTGTTTCCATAAATTTATATTCATATAATTCGTGTGGAGCTATATTAAGTGGATTTTAGTATTTTAAGGTGGGCTTGAAAGTTCATTCATACGCTTCAAATTGGAGTGAAATTTTAATAAATAATATAAATAATTAAAAAAAGAAATTATTCAAATATAAGGAAGGCTCTATTTCTCAGTGATCTTTAGAAGTGAGTCTCCTTTCTGCTTTTTCAGTGGTTTTATTTTTGATTTTGCTCTTCTTGAGCTTGAATCAATTATAAACAATACTTTGCATCCTCTCCGCATCTACTTCGGCTGTGGAAAAGTCTACCCTTTTTAGAATACGTTAAATCGTCGGTTAAGTTTATCTTATTCATTATCACACTTGGCGAATATCATACTCAAGACACGGGACATCTTGTATTCTTTTTTTATGTCTGTTTTGACACAACCCGAGAGAGAGAGAGAGAGAGAGAGAGAGATGTGTTGAAAGGCATTTATATATTTCTTATATAATTGGCGCTATGTCAACGCTGAAGCTATTTTCGGCCGAACTCCTTCTCTAATTTGTGACGAGGATGTTGATGTATTTTACAACAAATGGAGGACTCTACAGTTTATGCTATGCCACCTTCAATTTTTATGAGAATAGACTTAAAGCGTAGCAGAATACTACCCTAATGATATGAGTATCCAATCCATATTGCCAATCGGTACCGTGATATGTTCAGTTATGTTTTTGAGCATCGTAGGGTGAGGTTGAAGACGTCAGGAACGCATGTAAAGCACTTCAGACAAGGTATTCGAAAGGAGGAGGAGTGGGAATCTGTGATATGCTCACGTTAAGGTATGCCTGTCGATGGAGGCAATTTAATCCAAATCCGATCTAAAGCTGTAAGAAACGTAGGTAGTTAGCTACTTGGTTAACAGCTTTAACCGTAGACATAGTTTGTTACCATGGGGAGCAGTTATCTCCAGAGCTTACTTTGGGTTATTATTACGGAAGACCTTTCTTTTGACATCGGAGGGGTAGAGTCTACACTGTTTTTGGGATAGATATGGAGTTTAATTAGAACTAGCTGTTGGATCCGTAGCACATCAGAATCAGACAAATTTTAACATCACCTGGATATTTAAAAGGTCTTCCCCGTAATATCGTTTTGAGACACTGATCAATGCACGTTATGATACATTGGGTGTTTGACTACGTTGACCAGCACTTAATCTCTTTGTGGGAAAAATCCAATTTAAACTCTATGACTCGAGTTGTAAGAAACAGATTATCCAAGCTTGCACTGCCAAGTTATTGTGAATCACAATATGTTCTTAATGCATTAAGCTAGCTACGGGATTGATGACAATCACTCCAGAGCAGTATTGAGTCCGAATTGGCTGCGAGGTTCGACAGAAAGTTTATTTAGGTTTTGCTCTATACTGTAGACCGTAGACTACTCGTCCAATATTGTGGTGGTTGTGGTTTAGTAGCCAAAAAAACAGGCATAGGATGCATTGGTCTCGACCTTGATTTGTAGAGTCATTGTGATTAAATGTAGCACATAAGGCATGATAGATTTAGATGGATATCGACGACAACAAGGTGATTACGGAACATAAGCTAAATTGTGATTTAATACCGAAATTCGACGCATTGTTCAATGCACTGTCCTGACCCATTTTATTATCCGATTTCTCTCTCTTGGAGATGTAAAACAAAATATACCATCAGCCAAATCAAAAGGCATTCAATTATTTACCATTTATTGAAAAAAAAAATAAAAATATTCATTTCATAATTGAAAGTACAATTTTATTTATAACTTTTTTTTCGATTAAAAAGCCCATCCCAAACGTATCAGTTGCCAAAATTTTCTTAAACCTCTTCAGTTGCTTTCCATATTATTATATTTT